GCCCCAGAGAGATCCTAGCCAGGGGCGTGGAACTGGATCGAGCTAGGGGTCATTTCTACCACTGGTACAGGGTGGAGAGCTCCACAACGTTGCTACACCTGTCACCAAACAGGCCATGTTAGGGCCAACTATCCTCAGGGGCAAAACTTCACAGAGGCCACATTACTATCTTGTTGTGCATGTCAAGTCGATCCTGTAATGATTGTATCAACTTACTAATGACGGGGTTTTCCCCTTGGTATGGAGGGATTCGCCCCGCATTGTGTTGCCATGATCTTCGTCTTGATGTGGTCTAAAACTTGCGGAAGAAATTTCATCTCCTTCCCCTAGTTTATTCGTGCTTTCACTGATATCCTTCCTAATGTCAGAGTTGGAAGGAAAAGACACTCGATATTCGGGGTTTGAGCTCTAGTATGCGTCATGAGCTCCCGATGATTCAATAGTACTCTTCAATTTTGTCATTTGGCTTTTTGTTCAAGAGGCTTTCCCACAGATAGCTCCAAAAATTGTAGGGGGAAAATGGGTTTACCTCACGTAACTCTTTTTTCTGGTTCTGAATTTGAACTTTGTCGATTCTTTCCTGCAAAATGAACAAATTGCCAAGGATCGAAGTGTTTCGATCAAAGGTACTCCGATGCTTAAGTCACTAATTGAAGAATAAATGGGAATGCAAAAAGAACTTAACATACATTCCCTGTGCTTTGTTTATTCCTTTTTATAATGATTCCTCCCGCTAGGGTTTCGGTGGTAGACGCTGGAAGGTTGCACACCTTGCTTCAATTCAGGGTTTCTGTTTGGAAACTTGTAGGAATTTCTCTTAACGTTCTCCCTATTTGACTGGATCCTTCGTAGTTGATAATCATGGTCTAGTTATATAAATCCCTTGATTGTGGTGATTCATTTAAGGCAATATTTGTTTAAACGTAGAGCTCGATTCTGCCAAAGCCGAGCACATAGAGCTTAGTTCTACCGAAGCTGAGCACGTAGTGCTCGGTTCTGCCGAAGCTGAGCTATTACTTCTTCTTTGCCAAGCAGGTGACAGTTCGGCAGGTTGTTTTGCTGATTGACTCTTCGTTCCCTCACGTGTTTTGATAATGTCATTACCACGTGGGCATATTTAATGCTCATTACACATGTTATAATTCCTGATGCTCCTTCACAAATGAATCTCGTACCGACTGTTGTATGATATCAGACAATTGTGTAGTATCATTGATTCCAAATATTGTTGTAGACTAAAGAACATGATCCATACCATATGTATCTCTCCAATATGAAAAGTGATGAACCTAATTTTAAAGAACACATGTTAAATGCAACACAAATTTTCTATTAAATAAAACAAATATGACATACCTGTAACATATTTTGGTGTGGAAACCTAGAGTGTGTCATGTTGTCCATTGTATATCCACCTCTATATTCATGTAATGGAGTAAAGTTACTGTCATACAAGGAACGTGGGCTTGCCTTCATAACACATTATACACCACAACAAAATAACTAGCTCACAATAAAATGTTCAATATAATTGCTCAAATTAACAAATACAATCATTTACCTTTAATGCAATGCTTTGTTGAGTCTCAACTATGTCAACAACTTTCGTACTTAATGCATCATCGACGTTACCAATTTTGTTGCCCTGGACCATGTTAGAATCCTAAAAAAAAAATTATAAAATTAACAATGTGAACAAAATAAAACAGAAGTAATTTAAAAATCACATAATTCAAATATTTCACACCTTCATATAATTCCCTGCATTTTTTGTATTTGTCTTTGCTTCCATCTTTTTTTTCTTTTCCTCCTTTTTCCTAATTACTTGCTCGACCTTAGGTTGCTTCCTTTTATATGGTGGTCGCCCTTTACTATGAATTACCACTGGAGCAAGGATATTTGCATTCGTTTTTGATGTCATATTAACATCACTACAAGCTTTTGTTGCCCCAACATTCATGTTGGTAGTAGGTTGACTACTCTGATCAACACAATCATCTTTTTTTAGGTCCATTTCGAATTCATTTAGCCTCTACATCACTAAATTGGTCTTTTCTTTAGAATCAGTTGCCAAGTCTACAACTTGATAAAATGTATTACACATCCTATCAAAATGGCATGTTTTAGGTTTGACACTCCAATTATCACAACTAATTTTCACCTTCGTGTGACACCTCTTAAAATTTTTCTTCCATCGTCGAATGATGTATTTTTTTGGAATCACTAAAATCTTCTTATGAATTAGCATTGTGATTGCATGTTTACATAGAATGCCCCTAAATTCAAACAAATGACAGTTACACTTAATGTCACAGTCATCATGAATTAAAAAAACTTTGAAAAATGTATGCCGAGATGACTCCCCAACCTTTATATTTTCAGATATTTCATACTTTGAAAATGAATCATTATCTTTAACCGAAGACAATTCACAATATATCTTCCTTGTTAATTCATGTTGAAACTTTTTAAATTTTCTAGTAGTATAAGCATCTTGAAACTTCTTCTCGATGACATAATGAGTTACACAAGGAATCCATGAATTATAGGAGTTAAACCCCTCTTGGTTCTCTTTTTCTACCTTGTTTCGCAATGCATTTTCATACAATTCAACAAATTATTTTAACGTAGTTTTGGAATTAACATATCCATAAAAAAAAAAATGCATGCTCTCACTACGTTGTGTGGTGGACATTCCTGCCTAAAAAGTGTCTTTCACAAATGATGGCACCCATCGATGTCTCTCATCATACAATCCAAGCAACCACTCATTGCTTTCAAGATTATATTTCTCAATCATTTTATTCCACTGTTCTTCATTGGTCAAACAATCATATACAAAACTCTGCAATGCAAATTTGATTGACTCATACTGTTTACAACCTCTCAACTTTTCTGGCAACTTCTTCATTGTATGCCACAAACACCACCCATGGCATGTATTGGGAAAAACAATCCCAATTGCCTTTTGCATTGACTTGTCTTGGTCCATAATTATTGCATTTGGAGCACAACCAGCTATGCAAGCAACCCAAGATTGAAATAACCAAGTAAACATCTCAACATTCTCGCTTGATACCAATCCACATCCTAATAAAGTCGATTGACCATGGTGATTAATCCCGACAAAAGAAGCAAATGGCATGTTATACTTACTCGTTAAATATGTGGTGTCAAATATAATGGCATTACCAAACTTCTTATATGCTGCCCTACTCCTTGCATCTGCCCAAAATATATTTTCTCAAACGACCCTCATCATCCAAATCTATCATGTAGAAAAAGTTTGAATTATCACTTTGCATTTTCGGAAAATAGTTGTGAATTACAGTAGCATCTCCTTCCCCAAGCCGCAACCGCCTTACTTTGTCAATAAAATTTCTACAATCTTTCTCCAAAAAGGGAACATTCTCATACCCACTCACTTTAACCATAATAGAATTAAAGTTATTGTTAATTCGAATTCCAACTCTGTCATTCATTTCAAGTCTTCTTTTAATGTATGGTCTTATTATCCAGTTGCATCGATAGAAACGAGATTTGACCGAACTCAACCCATGGTTATGTTCAAGCAAGATGGAAGTCACTCACCACTTGCCATCAGGACATATAGCTGCTCTCAACTTAGCTTTACAATCAGTTTTGGTGATTGGATGCATTCTTGATGTAGACTTTGACTTTCCCGAGCAAGAACACGCAAATGTTACATATTTTAGCTCTCCATCATCTCCCTTTGACGATGTTCTTCTTTTTATGGGAGACCCTAGGTCATTACCATATCTTATGTAGTACTCCATTATTTCGTCAACTATATTAAACACCATTCCCAATTTTGGCTCTTCTAATTTTTCTTCCACATTGACTGTATTATCAAGTTCCTTCTCACAAGTATTACCATCCATCTCCATACTTGAATAGCTAGTTGGGATTTCTTCTTTCATTTCTATCAAATAAAGAACAAAACATAGATAATCAAAGAACATAGAAATAGTAGATTGTCATCGGAATGAGTACAACTAGTCAATCTTAAAGTTACTATTAGCACATCAAATGCTAGTTTTTATTGCCTAGTTGAGATACTGTATTTAAAAGATAGGAAAAAACTTATAAGATAGATAATCATTGAGGAATTGATATAGCTAAGACCACTGGTTGACAAACTAATAACTAAGTCCCTATATGCTTTAAAATATTTTTTTATAACGAAATAGATTACTTTGATTTAAAGAATGTCTTGGGCTTCCCAATGAATCATTCTGGTAACATTCTAAGGCATTTAATTTAGAGTTTTTACATAAGTATGAAAGTAATTTTCCAAGTGATAAAGTAGTATTACAAGATCAAAGACATAAAGATTCAAAAAATATATTGTGAAACCAAATAAACATTTAATCAAGTAGTTGGAGTGCATCCAATGTTTTCTATACAAAGTCAGACAAAGTCTGCGGGTACGGGGAATACCTAGAACAATAAAAAATAGACCAATAAATGTTTTTGAATTTCGAGATAGATTTCTTTGAACACCTTGAATGTATAGAAGAGCACTACATTAAGTGATTGAATGATTAAGTGATTGAATGATTGTCTTCAATCACTTGTAATCTGGAACGTAAATCATGTTCATAATAGTGTCAAAGAGCACTACAACCCACTTTATTAAACATCTTAAATATATAATATGAATTTAGGAAACAATCTTTCTTTCTCTGGTTCGACCGTCCGAGTCTACGAACGCTTTGTTTTCTCTGTTTTTTTTTTGAAAGAATCATTGTTCTGCTTGTCATTTCGTGTTAGGGAAGCAAAAAAGGCGTCTCAAATTTTATCTCATCTATTCTTGACTTACGAATTAAATTTTGGGGAGAAATTTTTTAGATTTAATAAAATATTAATCTAACCTACTCAGCGTTCCAAAGTTACTTGCCACCTCATTTGGCTCTTTATTTGTTCATTAATTGTGATGAGTGTACAGCTATTGTTTCTAGACAGTCCCAAAAGCCTACGCGAGAACGTTGCTCTCTTTCTAGCCATCAATTTCACTCTCGTATTCAGCTTTCCATCTACTCGCTCAATTTCTTTCAAACAAGTCAATACATAAATAGGCAAAGGAAGCTCCCGATGAGCTCATTTTCGAGTTTGTTGTAATTCGGAATGTTGATGACGAGAGTTTGGAGATCAACAATTCACGGAAATGGAAAATGGGCGTTAGGGTTTTGGTGGTGGAGGAGGAGGATTTGTTCGAGCAGCGAAGGAAAACAGCGGCCAACAAGTGGAAAGAGAATTGCAGCGGCTTTGTGGGGGAATGGTGACTATGGGAGGTTGGGATTGGGTGGCTTAGAGTCCCAATGGAGGCCTGTTTTTTGCTCTGCGTTTGGGGATCAAAGTCTCCGTCAGATCGCTTGTGGTGGAGCTCATACTCTCTTTTTGACAGGTTTGGACTGGGATTCTTTATAATCAAAGAATATTTTTTTCTTGTTAACATTGATATTGATATTCATAACATCTCTCCATTGTGATTATTAGGAGAAAAGTAATTCACTTGGAATATGATTAGCACTCTACTTTTCATATGATTTTTGCAAGACCAGTTTAGAATTCACTCAGAATGTGAGCATTAGGGATCACATTGGTGAAGTAATTGGAAGAAAGCTGAACAAAGAAGAAGAGCAATGTAACATAAACTGAAATTTTAGGCAGAAGTTCTCATAGAAAATTTTTATGCATACCCCCTGCAGATAGACATAATTTTAGAGACACTACTTGTATTATTTGAAACTACTAGAGTGGGAGAGTTAGAGTCGAAAAGAGGATTCCTCTTTTTTGTCTCTCATTCAGAATCGTGCATGAGAATTTCATCTCAAACGGCTAATGGAATAAATGATTTTATGTTTATAACCTTAACAGTAAATTTTAGAAAAAATTCATTCACCTCCGACCTCCCTTGCAGTTTATCACATCTTCGATGGCACCCCCTATATTCACTATCACCCTAATAGATTTTATCAATTAACCAAGTTAATGAAAATGGTGTTCTACAAAATTACGCTTACATTTTTTGTATTATAGATCATCTACAATACATATAAATCATAACATTGCTTTAACCAACCGAGTTTCCTGTTAACCAAGTTTATATAATATGAAATTATGTCACACCAACCGACAGTCAAAGATTTTTTCTTTCCCCAACAATCAACTATTACTAACCCAGTTGCTTCACACACACACACAGAGACACACACATATATGATATATGTTTATATAAATTGTTGTATACAAAGATAGATAGATAGATGGGGGAGAGAGAGAATGAACAAAACTAAGATGCAATCCCATGATCAAATGCAAGTGTGGTCATGGACTATTGCTTATAGTAAGAGATTAACACTGATGATATGATTCAATGGAGGAGACATTATGATGGTCTCCTTCTGCAGTGGTATGTTATGTGTTTAGATGTCAGGGAAACTGCGGATCATATATTCTTCTAATATCTTGTTGCTTAATCGTTATGGAACAAATTGATTTGTGGCAAAATTGAGTCGAACTGCTCCTCGATCTTTGTCAAGGACCTCAGAGGTTTGGGAAAAACACAAAGGGGGTCATTGTGGCATTTTTGGATTTAGTCTATTATATGGGTTATTTGATTACAAAGGGATACTATGACCAAAAAAATAAAATAAATTTAGAAAGGGATACGAGGATTTTTGACAATAGATGTGAGGTGGTGGAAGGTTAATGGGAACTAATATGTATCTTAGAATCATTTTGGGCTTTGGTCTCTAAGGATTATCAAGGCACCCCTCTATTTTCTATTTTGGACGGTTGGAATGCTTTGTGCCATCTTTAGTTGAATGTCCACCACTATTGTAATTCTATACTTTGCTCCAAACATAAATCAATAAAACTTCAATGTTTCTTATCCAAAAAAAAGGGAGTGGATAGCATGGGAATGTTGAGAATGCAAATAATAATGAAGCTTGGAGTAGAATACTGACATGTCACATAAAGATCAAAATTTCTTGGGCATGCTTCTAAGTTAGTAACTGTTGAATCTAGCCGGATTTACAATTTGAAACACATTTGTGGTTACATACATCTAAATGAAGCCAAATGTGAAGCTAAAGACAATGTAGGCATATATTAATTGTGATTGGGACTATCAGAAGTCCATTGGTGTTAAATTTGAGTTGTATTCTATCCATGCAATACCTATTAGTTGACATTGTTATGTGTTGGTACCTTAATTTCATGTACGCTTGTTAATGGATTGGATTATAGTTTGACTTCAATCCGACTTCGGTTCCATATAAACAAATATAAATGGAAATTTTAGTGCATTAATTAGAATCCGTTTAAGACACTTTGATTGGATTTGAATATGGATACATAGTAATCCAATGTGTTAATAATTAGATATGAAATATAGTATAAATAATACTATATATTATATGTCCGATGATTGATTTCTTTGAGGCACTAATTTACTATACAAAGAAGTTATGTTTGTCATGTTGCTCTCAAGTTTTTCATTATTTTATTTTCTTTTGACTAGTTCTAGTTTTCCTCATTTTGAATTGGAAAAAAGCAAGAAGAGAAAGGAATAGTTTAAAGACTAGAATAACCAAAGCCTTGGATCTAGGAAGTATGGATACAAACACGGGTGTCGCATCCGATACGATACGATAAGGACACGAGGATAGAAAAAAGGTAAAAAATATAGAACACGGTTATGACAAGAATACGACTATTAAAATAATTTAATATATTTTTTAGATAATAATAGAAATATAATATATTAAAAATAAAGAATATATTATAATAATATTAATAATAAGACCTAACAAATATTAATTTATTTTATTAAAATTAAAATAAATTAAAATAAATATCCACAATTTTCATCAAATATCATTACATTCGTTAACATTCATAGTATGTAAGTTACATAACAAAAAAAATAAAAATAAAAAAGAAATCACACCCCTTTTAATAGTTAATAATTTTTTTTAAAAAAAAATTCCTAGTTGTATTTTGGTCATGTCCTGACCATATCTTAACTGTATTCAAGCCATATCCTGATCGTGTCCAACAGTGTTCACTATTCAAGACACTTGTAGCTGTGTTGGCCACGTGTCCGACATTGCCACACCACCCATTTGGGAAGTATCTATGCTTCTTAGCCCTGTATAGATAAGAGTTGCCTAATTAACGAGGTAGAACCATGGAGGTCTAGGTCTAAACAACTGTTTCTTTCTTTCTTCCTAATAGCTTCAGTAAAGCTAGGATTCTGATTCAGATTGCAATGGCACTGAAGGAATTGTTTGCAAATTATTTAGGAATACAAAGAAATAAGAACTCTGGCTGGATAGGTATCACACAATCCAGGGACTTAACCCCCCTCCCCCCGGGAACCCCAAAGAAAAAATGGAAAAAGGGGAATGAAAACAAAATCCTCAAAGCGGCTGTATAATTTCAAAGTAGGGGCTCAGTGGTGTAGGACTCTAGGTGATATGTCTTGCACACATGGGGCCATAATGGTTGATGTTACTTTAATGCACTTTTTTTTTTTTTTTGAATTATATGACATATTTGTCAACGCTGACTCTATTTGACTTTATTTGGGAGTGCCCATGGGGAGTTTGCTCCGGCAAGTATTAGAGTAATAGGATTTATGGGAGAATGTTTCGTTAGCTTTTAACATTCAAAGCTCAAGCTGTAGGATTAAGTTGGTGAATCTAAATATCCTTACATAGACGGTTGATGTCAAACTTCTTTTTTTGTCGTCTTTATTCCATTATAATTCACCTTTGTTTTTTGACTGACTTTATTGTGGATTGGCATGGATCAAGAAATTAATTCTGAAATTAAGAGGCAGCAGTTATCTCTTTTGTATAATTGAATTTATCATGAATCTCTATGGGTCAAGAACCTGGTTCTGAAATCAAGGCCAGCTGCCTCAACTGATCCAAGGCAGTCTATTCTTCTGTTGATTTGTCCATCAACTGAGAGAGGAATGAAGGGCTACATTAGAGATCTTAGTCACAAAACCTAATAGATTGGTTAAATGGCTGTAAATTTTCCAATGTCTTTCTGCTTAAAAAGAAATCTGTTGTATTAGTATTGGCAGGCTATCTTCAACATGAAACGTCCTTTCGAAATTGAGAGTCAGCAGTTATCTCTTTTGTATAATTGAATTTATCATGAATCTCTATGGGTCAAGAACCTGGTTCTGAAATCAACTCCAGCTGCCTCAACTGATCCGTGGCAGTCTATTCTTCTGTTGATTTGTCCATCAACTGAGAGAGAGGAAAGAAGGGCTACATTAGAGATCTTAGTCACAAAACCTAATAGATTGGTTAAATGGCTGTAAATTTTCCAATGTCTTTCTGCTTAAAAAGAAATCTATTGTATTAGCATTGGCAGGCTATCTTCAACATGAAACGTCCTTTCGACAGATGCATGGTCAACAATGCTATAAGTTTCATTTATATTTGTGTAATTAAAAAATTGGCCTATGTTTGTCAGCACTTCTCTTTGCTGACATTCTCCTGGGTTTGGGCCTAACGTTAATCAGGATTTCAAGTTTTTAGTTCTTTTCCTGGCTTATACGGTACTAAAGAATCTATATATAAGTATATATAGTATTGTCTATAGTATATGACAGTTGGACAGTTAGTTCATAGGAAAAAAGCTATTGGCTTTGCATTTATATCTACCTTTAGTGTTCTAATTCTTGAAGCTTTTCTTTTTCTTCCCCCCCCCCCTCTCCCCAGCTTTTGGATGCCTAGTTCTTTTAAAATTGGTGATGAATTTCGAGAATTGGCCCCCGCATTTTGCAGAGGCTCATAAATTTGTCCTCTTTTTGACAGAATCTGGCAGTGTTTACGCCTCTGGTCTGAATGATTTTGGACAGCTAGGCATATCAGACAATAAGAGTTACACAACTGTATGATATCTTGTCCTTATTGTTACTTTGTTACTCTTTTGTTTTTTGGGGCTTTGGTTGTTCAGTGTGATGGACTTGTCCAGATTGCTTAATGTTCTTACTCATCACTCAACTCATTCTTAATGGTCAGTTATAAGATTATGTTTTCATGAAATTTATTTATATTTTTGTTTTGTGCCTAATAAGATGGTCATTTATGGGAATAAAATGTGTGCATTCTTTTGTCATTTTATTTTTAAGCGAGAAAGGAACATGAATGATTTGGTTTTGGGCCTTGCCTTTTTTTTTTGGTCTGCATACTTCGTTTATTTTGCTATTCTACCTAATTTGCACGCTTGTAATGCATATATGGATTTTTACTAACATTTTGGTTGATTTTTTCAAAGAATGCTGTTTCTTAGAAGCGGAAGTTCTTTGATAGATTGTGTTTCTTGAGCATAGAGGTGCAGATGCCAGGATGTTTATTGAACGGGGTATTAAGTTTGACAATTGAAATGAGTTTCTGATGGATGTTAAACATAATAGATATCTGTATGGTCTCAGTCCCTGTGGTCTGCTTTCTTATGGGGCAATTATCCCAGTGATGAGTCTGTCACAGAGGTTGAAACTTGGACGTGAAGCCTAATCATACTCGATGCAATAGCTAATAAGATATTCCATGTTATCTGAGTGACTCGATGTTCTAATTATGATACTCTAATTTTGCAGTTCAGAATCTGAGTGGCGACTTTCTACT